ACATAAAAATGGATTTCGATTTTATTTATAAAAATAAATGATTTTAGATATAACTATTTTTTTAAATTTTATAACATTTTATTTTTGTTAAAGAAGCAATTTTATATCGGATCAAATTTTATAATATTGACCGATAATTGATATTTTATAATGGGTGAAATATCGGTTCGATAAAAAATATCGGCACATCATTAATATATTTTATATTTAATTATTTTAGCAAGTTCTTATTAGAGGAAATATTTAAGCTACAATTGATATATAACATTATATAATTTTAAAAGGCTCTTAATAAAATAATTATAATAAGGTAGAATTTAACTTTATTAGTTACTTTTATTTATTTATAATATAAGTAAAATTATATTACAGTATTTATCTACAAAATTTAATCAATTTAAAATGCATTAAAAAAAATTGTTATATATTTAATAATTAAATAATATAATGTTATACATTATTTTCATATTTTTTATATATAATTAATGATTTTGCAAGAAATATATTAAAAAAATTTGAAAAGAGATTTAAATGATATTTATATATATATGATATTACAAATGCAAGAATTAATAAGTCATACTAGAAAATAAAACTAATTTAAAAAATACATAAATATCACAAACAAGTAATGATAAATAATTATTAAAGATAATGAATAAAATAAAACTAGTATTATTTTTTTTTAGAGATGCCATTTAGCCATATACTCCAAATATAAGCTATATTTAAAACAACATAAAAAATAACCTGCAAATTCTAATAAATCATTTGATTTAATTTTTTTTCTTATTTGCACATTTTCAACTCCCATTAAATATACTACTCTCCCTTCCCTGTTTAAGCTATTAATGGACAAAAATTAATATTAAAATCCCTGGTTATTATAATTAATTCATCAATAAATATTTTATTAATTATTGCAAATATTCATTATTATATGTGTAATACTATGTTCTTCACAAATAAATAATAAAAATTGTATTTTATAAACTATTCTAATTTAATTGGTAATGATAATTTGAAAGTATCTTGTATTTAAGATACTCTAATTTAGTAAAAGATACAAGTATCTTTTATCTTGTATCTTTTTGATATTTTGAACAAGATACTAGTATCTGTATCTAAGATTCATTTTTTATAAAGAATCTGTATCTGTATCTAGATTCTTTTTCCGGAGGACCTGCCCAACTCATTCGTAGTTTAAATTTAACATTATATATGTCAATTCGTAGTTTAGTCATTTTAATTTAACATTATTTACCGCAATTCGTATAATTTAACATTATATACAGCAATTCGCAGATTAGTCATTTTAATTTAACATTAGTTACCGCAATTCGTAAATTCATTTTAATTTAACATTATATACGGCAATTCGTAGTTTGGTCACTTCATTTTAACATTAAATATGGCAATTCGTATGTATAATTTAATATTATATATGGCAATTCGTATTTTAGTCATTTTTAACATTATTTACCGCAATTCGTAGTTATTTTAACATTAAATACGGCGATTCGTAGTTTAGTCATTATAATTTAACATTATATATGGCAATTTAGTCACTTTATTTTAACATTAAATTTGGCAATTCATAGTTTAAATTTAACATTATATATGGCAATTCGTAGTTTAGTCATTTTAATTTAACATTATTTACCGCAATTCGTAGTTTAGTCATTATAATTTAACATTTTATACGGCAATTTGCAGTTTAGTCATTATAATTTAACATTAGTTACCACAATTCGTAGTTTAATCATTTTAATTTAACATTATATACGGCAATTCGTAGTTTAGTCACTTCATTTTAACATTAAATACGGCAATTCGTAGTTTAAATTTAACATTATATACTGCAATTCGTATTTTAGTCATTTTAATTTAACATTATTTACCGCAATTCGTAGTTTAGTCACTTTATTTTAACATTAAATACGGCAATTTAGTTTAGTCACTTTATTTTAACATTAAATACGGCAATTCGTAGTTTCAATTTAACATTAAATATGGCAATTCGCAGTTTAGTCATTTTAATTTAACATAAAATACGGCAATTCGTAGTTTAGTCACTTAATTTTAACATTAAATACGGCAATTCGTAGTTTAGTCACTTTATTTTAACATTAAATACGGCAATTCGTAGTTTAGTCATTTTAATTTAACATAAAATACGGCAATTCGTAGTTTAGTCACTTAATTTTAACATTAAATACGGCAATTCGTAGTTTAGTCACTTTATTTTAACATTAAATACGGCAATTCGTAGTTTAGTATGGTAATTCGCAATTTACTTGGCAATTCGTAGTTTATAACAATTCGTATTTTAGTATCACTAGTAGATAGCCCGTCAAAAATGACGGAGAATGAGAATTTTATTCGTTTTTTTAAGAATGATGTTACCTTTTATTTAAAAATCATATCCAATTTATATAATTTTTAAATCCCCCCTCCCCATTTAGGTCAAGTCCAAGCAATGTCATTGAGTCCAACCCATTAGGACTAAGAGTGTAAACTATTATTTGAGTCAAAATATATTTAAATGAGCTTGTACCCAATACCAAAATTCTTTGTAAATATATTACTGGTTACATAAGACTAACATTTAACATTAAAAAATTTCAAGCCAGGTCCAAGCTCATAATATTTGAAAAAAATTTCCACGCGTTCAAGACCTTATAATTTATAAAAAAAATTCTCAAATCTAGCTCAACCCATAATAATTTTTAAAATTTTTTCCTAGCCCGGCCCATAATAATTTGTATAAGATATTCCCAAGTTAGGTGCAAGCAAATATTAATCTTGAGGAATATTTTTCAAGCCCAGTCCATCACATATTAAGTTTCAAAACTATTTCCCAAATAAATAATTTATCAACACATGAAGGGGAAATCTCGGATTTACCAATTAGTGGGTTAACTCCTTTTATCAAAAAATTTGATAAGGGCTATCTATATCTTTTGTTAAGTACAAAAAAATGCTATCTATTTAAATTGCAAAAATGCCATTCAATACTAATGAAACTTATATGCAATTTATTTATATATTTTTTAAGAAATTTGTTTTTCTTGCCATATAAATTTAGGTATTTTTTTTAAAAAATGCTGAGGATTAATTATTACTCTTTGTGTCTGGTAAAAATAAGAGCAAATCCTTTATGACATTTTAATTTTTTATGGAAAAAGCGACAAAATAAATCTGGGCAGTCGTCTGCAGAAGAAAAAATTGATGTATAATATCATCCCATTTAGGGTTATAGGTGAAAGTAATGAATAATGACGGATTGCCAAAGCAGTGTACAACACCTATTGCATCCTGATAAAGCTGAGGAGAAGAACGCGAAATGATATTTCTGCCAAAGTGTCAATTTTGGTATACCCCTCTAAAATAGAATCATGAACGACATTGTCAACTCAACCATAAAACGGTCGTAAGTATTGTTATAAAGGCCATGACAAAACTACCGCATATTTTCCCATTAATAATGTTAATGAAATTGGCTGCACTACACATTCACGTTTGAACATCTCTCTAAATATTCATGAAAGTTCCTCAGGGAATCGGATAAAATATTATTTATAATAACTCCTAATGAGGTGAATGATAGTGGAATAAAATGCTTATATTTTTTAAAAATTAGGCAGAGGTGGCATAGGGATTGTGGTAGTGGTGATAGAAATATCATTTGGAGGCAATTGGGTGTATAAAATAAATATAGATATAAAACATTAGATAAAAAACAAAATAAACCTCCAGAGGAGTTCACAGTGCCTTATTATCTTGGCCACCAGTAACTCTAGAACGGGTAAGGCGTTTGTTGAATCGCCATTTTTTCCTTTGCTTATCTTTAATAATAGATTCATCATGTTTGGTAGCAATGTGAGGGATTAGGGTTAGCCTAGACAAATAAAGGAATCAGGCAAAAATATAAATATATTGTTGAAATTAAACAAACATTAAAATAATGTAAAACCGGTAGAAGGGTCAATATTAGATGCATATTTCTAATAAGTTGGAGGGCTATCATCAAATAAAATTTTTGGGGGACTTATCAAGTCTATTATGATATTATAAAAGTTAAAAAATAACATGATAAATGTAATGTTATTAAGATAAAGGTTAATTAATTGTAAGGTAATTAAAAAATTAGATTAAAAAAGGGGGGAAAAAGAAGGTATAAATTATTATATTATATTATATAAATTAAAGGTGATAAGGTTTTGAGATATAGTGGTTAATAGATAATAGAGATAGAAAGAAAAGAATGAGATAATAAAATTTAGTGATAAATAAAAATGTTTATTTTTGTTAAAAAATAGGTGGAGGTGGCATAGGGATTGTAATAGTGGGATAGAAATATCATTTGGAGAACTGGGTGAAAATAAAATAAACATAGATATAAAACATAAGATAAAAAAAACCTCCAGATGAGTTCATTTCAAGCGTAGTTCTTTATTATTTTGTCTACCAGTAACTCTAGAACGGGTAAGGCGTTTGTTTATTCTTCATTATTTTCTTTGCTTATCTTTAATAATAGAATCATCATGTTTTGTAGCAATGTGAGGGAATAAGGTTGGGTTAGCCTAGACAAATAAAGAAATCAGGCAAAAATATAAATAAACATTATTATTGAAATAAAATGAAGATTTTTTGGAATAGATATAAAATAATATATAATATTATTTATAATAAAAATAATGTACTATGTATATTTTTTGTGCGTTATACAAAATAATCAGCAGGGATAATAGAGCAATGGTGGATCCGACAAAATGGTAAACTTTTAAAAAAGTAGGATCCTTAAAAATTGTTATATTCATTTAGTTAAATTTTAAAAATGTACTTTGATATAATTTTCAATTAGACAAAATATTCATCAGAGATAAAAGCGCATATTGAGCGGCCTGACAAAAGGATGCTTAAATAATATAAAATTGTTTAAATTATAAAATAATATCATACTAAGTAATGTTCATTCTTATTCGTATAAACCGGGATTAATCGGATATAACCTCATGATATACCACATTGGTAGTAGTCTTTGTTTTATCATTGGTTATAATCTTTAATTTATGAGGAGAACAAACTCGAGACATAGTCACATATAACTGTCCATGTGAAAAAACAGGATGAGGTAAATAGATACCAACTTTGTTCAACGTTTGTCCCTGAGCTTTATTAATTGTCATGACAAAAGCAGGTCTCACGGGAAATTGGCGGCGCTTAAAGGAAAATGGCAAGCCAGAATCTGTAGGAATTAAACTTATTATAGGAATGAGAACTTTAGTACTGAGAAAACTACCAGAAACAAATTCCGCCTCAATTATATTTGGTAGCAAAGAAGTTATAATCAATTTAGTCCCATTATTCAAACCAGAAGCAGAATTTAAGTTACGCATTAATATTATAGGTACCCCGACTTTGAGTAAAAGTTTGTGAGGTGGTAATCCTGATATACTTAAAGAGTTTAAAAATTCAGTGGGATAAAACGTCGCTTCATCCTCGGTTATCGTTTTATCAGCACTTATGTATGTAATTAAATCTCCCGGAATTTTGTTAATCAATTTAATATTTATAGAATCGACATCTACGTTTTTAGGGGTCAGGATTGCATTTTGAGCAAATGATGTTCGGTTAAATGATGAATTGTCTTTGTCTATATCGTAAACAAAAGCAATAAGATCCTCGATATCATTGGAAGCTATACAACAATCTTGAGGAATTTTTATTTTATCCCTGGAGCCATCGAATGTTTCACAGCCTTCACCAACTCTTAAAAGAAATTTTGAGTATTTATTATTAATAAGATAATTATTTGCTTCCTGGAATTGTAGAAGTCTCATATTAATACATAACCTTAAGGGCACTATATGTGACCATAAATAGGATCGTTTTAAGGTTGAGTTAACAATGTCGCATCTTCCACCACGTTTAATAACAGGTAAAATCTGTCTAAAATCTCCGCCAAAAATAATAATTTTACCACCAAACGGTTTGTCTAATTTCATTATATCCTGAAATGACCTATCCACGGCCTCGAATATATGTTTATGAGTCATTGAAATTTCGTCCCATATTATAATTACCGATTGTCTTATCAATTCAGCTATTTGGCTTTGGTAAGGAATATTACATGAGGAACTTTCATGAATACTTAAGGGGATGTTGAAACGTGAATGTGCAGTACGGCCATTATGAAGAAGAGTTGAAGCTATGCCAGAAGATGCAACAGCTATAGCAATTTTACCTTGAGCTCTCAAGTTAAATAATATTGTATTTAATAGAAATGATTTTCCAGTACCACCAGGACCATCTATAAAAAATAAATTATGGGATGGAGTGGAGGGCAAGGACATAATTTTGGCATAGATAATATTTTGATCCCGATTAAATAAATTGTAGTTAGCCAAATATTTTTTATACATATCATTAGTATCGTAGGAAATTTCCTCCCGAATAAGGTGACACCTAATATTAGCTGTAGTAGATGGAGATTGGGTGGATAATAAAGGGATAGGCATTCCCAAAAAATCCTTATGAGATTTACCATTTTGAATCAAAATTTGATTGATGTGGCATAGCGCGAGATTTTCGGTGATAAGGTTATCCGGCTCTGGTGATATTTTCTTGGAAAAATCTTCACAAAGATAAAATTTAAAAGAATTCCATAGACCTAGAGGATCTCTCGGCTCATAATGTAATAAAATAACAGAAAATAACTGGCGCAATTGATATGGCATCTTAAATGAAAGACCTTTCTCTAAACAATGGTTCCATTCCGCATCATCTGATAACAGACCACGTCGAATACATGCATCTTTAAAAGTGTTACTGATAATTCCATTAAAAGAGCGTAGATCTTTAAAGCATGTAGGCCCAGTAACATAATTAAGTAATAGTCTTAAATAAAATACCTCACCCTCTTTAGGAGAAACTGTGCGTATACGGCCTATAACTTTATTACCACCCATTTTTCGTTTTAACCACTGTTTAGATAGAGGTTTCCACACATAATATCTTACAAAATCTGCATAAATATAATGTCTGGCATCTGTGTCAAGTTGATTAATTTTAAACCATTCGGTTAATTTTGTACCAGGATTTTTAGTTAAGATATTATTTATATCAGTATTTGATTGAAAAAGGATTATATTGATTGGGTAGATGAAGGTCTAAACGATAGACTGCAGGAGAATGATCCTGCATTTCAAAATCCAAAGTACGCCATAGCGATTCTATGGCGGATATATATCGAGCATCAATGAACTGGGTAGTTTCATCAACATTATTAATGGAAACGGAAGCAGTAGTTCTGTCATGGCCTTTGTAACAATACTTATAAATGTATTTTATGGACTGGACAGATGAACAAATTTCTACATTTATATGTGCATTATATTTTTTTGATAAATGTTTATTATAAGGAATAATCTAACGGTTGTTAAATATAAATCCGTTTAATTTTTTTTGGAAGGTAACGCCATCATTTCGTCGCCTATATAAAGGATAACCATACTTATCAATAGAAGAGGTTTTTTGAGCATTTTCCATCAATCATGCAGGGACTATTAGGAAATGTTATACCACATGGCCCATGTGTATTAAAATTGCTAATAATTTGAAACAGCTTAGGCTCAGTTATTTTGTTAGGAATTTCAGAACAAACTACATCATCATAAGTATCAGCCGTTGGTAGCCTATGAGATTTATGTAGTATAAGGCACATATGACAATGAGGCAAACCTCTTTTCTGGAATTCTATGACATCTATATAAGCGATTACTTTGCCAAGAACATGATAATAGAGCAAATCCTTTTTTAGACATTTTAATTTTTGACGAAAAACGCGACAAACTAAATCTGGGCGGTCGTTTGGGGTCTGATGAGGAAATAATTCACGCATTATTTCATCCCATTTAGGGTTGCAGGTGAAAGTAATGAATAATGATGGTTTACCAAAGCAGCGTACAATAGCCATTGCGTCCTGATAAAGCTGATGCATATGCCTGGGGCCACCGGTAAAAGAAGAAGGCAAAATTATTCTTCTGCCAAGATTGTCAGCATTAGTATCTCCCTCTAAAATAGCATCATGTATGCCTTGATAGAGTTCGGCGCGTAATTTGGATTGATTATTACGTATAAAATTTAATCGAAGCGTTTCCTGTTTGGCATAACTGTCGACAATGAATTGGTGAAAAAGACGTTTGGATCTTAAAATAACATTCTCATCATCCTGCCTGACCATAAAGCGATAGGCATAGTACTCTCTGCAGGTAACATATTTATTAGTTGAGTTTCTATAATGAATGGATGGATGGTATCCAATATCGCCTCTGGGAAATAGAAGAACATATTGCAAGGGATCGTATGAGGAATGGAGCTCATTAATACGTCTTAAAGGACCAGATAGAGTTTTTAAGATAATATCTCTATGGACTATATGATCACTGCCATCACCAGGTAATAATACTGCTATTTCAGATGAGGTAGGTTTATTGCGATAACGTACGTCAAAACTTGTGTAGATTTTAAGTTTAAGGATATGCTAGGAACGCCAGTAACGATCATAGAAGATACTCTCAAAAATTGAGAAGCAAAGGGGTTGTAGGTGTGAACAATATCCTGCAATTTCATTAAAAGACAACGATCTAAAAACGGAACCTGGTTATGTCTGTTTTCTATCTCATTTAAAATATCATGTATATATAATTGGGCAAATTTAGGAGTCTCCCCTAATGTTGGTAGGAGTGAACCAATGCGATGATGAACCTGTCCATTAATTTGAAAGGTATAATTACCTGATCGCGAATTGGATAAATTATTATTTATATAACTCCTAGTGAAGTGAATGACAGTGCGGAATTATAAGCTCTTATGTTTGTTAAAAAGTGGGATGAGGAACAATGATTCCCGGTAAATAAACGTAATAATTTGGTGGTAATTGGAAAATTTTAGATAAAAATACCTTCCCATTCAAACAACATGTAGAAAACTGAATATTTCTACATGAGCTTTTTGATAATTTTTCTCCATTCCACATTTTAGCATTGCAGAAGGCGCATATTTCTGTCATATTTCCGATATCTAATATAGGTGAGTGGTGGTCATCAAATATATGTCGAAATATACATGGTAGAGGTGCCATAGGGAATGTGTTAGTGGTTATAAAAATATCAGTTGACGGTATCTGGGTTATTATAAAATAAACCTATATATATAAAACATTAAAAACCTGCAAGGGAGTTAATATCAGGCGTAGGTCCTTATTATACTGCATACCTGTAATTCTAGAATGGGTAAGGCGTTTGTTGAGTCGCCATTTTTTCTTTGCTTATCTTTAACAGAAATATCATGTTTTGTAGCTATGTGAGGGATTAAGTTTGGGTTAACCTAAAATAAATAAGGAAATCAGGCAAACATTTTTATTGAAATAAAACGAACATTAAAATACTGTACTGAACCTGTAAAGGGGTCAATATATGCATATCTCTAGTAGTTGGGAGGCTATCATCAAAAAATAAAATTTGTCTAGTTGGGGACTTGTCAAGACTATCGTGTTTTCTGAACATTTATTTTGTATTTGTTGATTATTAATGGTAGATATATCATTATTTAAACAATTATAAGGAGGAAATAAAGAAGGGTTTGTTATCTAAAATAAAAACAGAAGAATAATTAAAAAATATAAATGCATTGAACCTGAGGAGTCAATATAAGGTTCAACTCCCTAGAAATAGTGGGGACATTATCAGAAGCTAAAATAGATGTATTCTATAATATAAAAGAGTATAAAAAAATATATATGTAAGGCTAACTTTATTTTGAGTTGTTAGTAGATTTTGTAGGGCCTCGCTATCCCTAGTGCGTTTCTTTTTTTTAATGATCTGCCATCTTTTTCTTTTATTAATGAAGGATAAATCATCACCTGTACAATCATTAACTGAGGTTAGGACATGGCTTGTTATCTAAAATAGAAACAAAAGAATAAATAAAAAAAATAAAGCATTGAACTTGATGAGTCAATATACTTGTACAATCATTAAATATGGGTAAGACAGGGCTTGTTATCTAAAATAAAAACAAAGAATAATATAAAGAATATAAATGCAATGAACATGATCTAAAATAAAAACAAAAGAATAAATAAAAAATAGAGTCAATATTAGGTTACTCTCTAGAAATAGTGGGAATACAATCATTAACTGAGGTTAGGACATGGCTTGTTATCTAAAATAGAAACAAAAGAATAAATAAAAAAAAAAAATGCATTGAACTTGATGAGGAGTCAATATACCACCTGTACAATCATTAAATATGGGTAAGACATGGCTTGTTATCTAAAATAGAAACAAAAGAATAAATAAAAAAATAAATGCATTGAACTTGATGAGGAGTCAATATACCACCTGTACAATCATTAAATGTGGGTAAGACAGGGCTTGTTATCTAAAATAAAAACAAAGAATAATATAAAGAATATAAATGCAATGAACATGATCTAAAATAAAAACAAAAGAATAAATAAAAAATAGAGTCAATATTAGGTTAACCTCTCTAGAAATAGTGGGAATATCATCCATCATAAGCTAAAAATAGATATGATCATAAAAAATGAACAAATAAATTACTTCTTCTGATTTCAGGAATTCAAATAAAATGATAATCTCTAAAAATTGGTATCTGGCACTCCGATTTCAGTCAAGGAAAATGATAGTCTCATAAAAAATCAACAAATAAATTACTTCTTCTGATTTCAGAATTTGATATGAACATCTGTTTATAAAAAAATCAACAAATAAAAAATAAATAAATAAATACGTACCGATGACATGACGTAATGATGACATGACGTAACGATGACATGACGTAGCGATGACATGACGTAGCGATGACATGACGTAGCGATGACATGACGTAGCGATGACATGACGTAGCGATGACATGACGTCACAATGACGTAGTGAGGATATTGGAAAATTATAATATAGATTGGCCAAAACTAAATTGCCTTTCAATTGGAGCTGATATAGGTATTGCATTTTTATATCTATAAAAAATTTCCTTAATGGAAGGATAATAATTAAGCATATATAATGTATTTCGACTTCCTTTAATATAATTTAAACCTCCAGTTCAATGTTAATTGTATTATTGAACTCAGCAACATTTGTTTTACCAAAATAAAAATAACATCATTTTCTTTATTAGATGTTAAATCTATTGGTGTAATAGTTTGAGCTTGCTTATATACCTGGTACTATATTTAGGGCTTCTTTTATTAATACATTTTGAAAGTATTTTTTTTTATCATCGGACTCTATCCATAAGTTCTTAAAATATGGATTTGATATTGATGTCAAAAAAGCCCCATTATATTTAAATCATAGGAAAATATTTTCTTAAAATATTTTGCCCATACCATATTGGGCAGCTTTTAATAAAGGTAGACAATATTGTAAACTTGAATTTTTAAGATCCCCTTTTAATCACACATAAATAATATACTTTAATATGTTTAACGAAATTTGTGTTTAAACCTAGCCTGTTCATTGTCTTTAACTTTTATTTTTAAAAAATTTCCATATAAAATTTTAAGTTTGGGATTTGATTTACGAGAACTATTACATAAAATTGGTAATGATATACTATCGAGTAACTTTTATATATATAATATAATCTTAACTTATTCCGTTTTGGTGTGGTTATTTTTTACCTTAAGTAAATTTTCCAGCTAATTTTGATTGTCATCATATTTCAAATATTTTGGAAAAAAATAAGAAATTAATACAAGATTCTCGAGTGATATGTAAAATTTTTAAACATGAATATTAAAAAGAATCTGTATCTGTATCTTTTGTCAAGGAAATGAAAATCATATAAGATTCTTTTCAGCATAAAGGATCTTAGATACAGATGTGAGTATCTTATTAAAAATGTTAAAAAGATACTTAGTACAAGATACAAAAGTATCTTGTATCTTAGATACAAGTATTCTCGGTACTGCTTAACTCTGATTAAAATTTGAAAAATGTTTGCGTCTACATCTTAAATTTTTTTAGAGTATTTTTCATTTAAGTTATCTTTTCTGCAATGTAATTGTATTTAAATACTATTAAATGTTCAAATTCCCATCATCTACACTCTAATTTGGATCATAAGCAGAGCCATTTTGATAGGGGATAGGGGAAGCCCTATTAGGTTAGTTTTTTCACCATAAATTTTATTGGAGAATTTTAGATCAACATATTGCAGGCCATTGATCACGTTAAAATTTTTAAAAATTATTTTGGTTGGTTCAAAATCGCACTATGTTATATTAGACACTAATCCTATTTTTAATAAAAATGCTTTTATATAAAGTTTTAACTTATAGTAACTATCTTAAAAAATAATAATTTTTATTTATTTTTCTTTCAAAGTATTGCTTATAGGGATATATTGTATTCATTTTTGGGAAAGAAGAGGGTGCGGGGGAATCATATTACCTTAAAATTATATTTACTAGAATATACAAATTTCCAAAGGGAGGATTCAGCCTTGCCCCCCCCCCCCCGGTTACATCTATGGAATAAATGTGAATGGCCCCTATTTGGAGAATTTAGTTGCAGGAATCTAGTCCGATTTAACTCTCATTACCCGAGTCCAACTCAAATCGAAGTATATTTTTATGGTCGATCTTCTATTTATATAATTCCTTGGCTCAACCGACCTGGCTATATATTCTGATTATATCAAATTTAACTAACTGACAGGGCATTCCAAGTCCAAGCATCACATCACTATAAGATTTACTAAAACAGTTAATATATTTTATGTATGGTATGTTTAATTTGCTATAAATACTCCACCACAAAAGCACAATATTTATATTTGCAGACAATGTTATTTGAGCTTCATTAGTAAAACTTAAATGCATTAACAAAACATTTCAATTTAATCATTTTTTACATTTATATTACTATTTTTTTGGTGGATAAATATTTCGAATTAATAGGTTACGTTCAAATTAGATTTGCATTTTGGGGTTTATGATGAATAAATTCCCAAGATATATAAAAGAAAGTAAAATTTCATTTAGACCTGACCTCGATACTTGTATTATATGTTGTACACCAATAAAAATATTTTCTTACGGAAAATGTTTGCATAAAATATGTTCTAATTGTTCAATGCGAATGAGAATACTATGTGATCAATGTTATTGTCCAGTTTGTAGAACTGATTTACAAAAGGTAATCATATATAGAATTATCAATTCCATAAAATAAGCTTTATTATAGTATAAAGTTTATTTTATGGAGATAATTCATATTCTTTTTCAATTTTAAATACATTTCAAGAATATATTTAATATTAATTTAATCAAGTTTATCATTACGTTTTTAATATCTAAAGTATCAAGATTCTCTTCATACAGAGATTTTATAGATTTTTTTTCTTTGTTTATAATATATTTTGGTAATTTAAATTTTGTTACCCTTGTCATTCAAAAATCACAATTTTTGAATATTTAATTATTATTTTATTGAATTTTTGCTAATTATAGATTATCTACTCCTCTCAATATATTCCAGAGGAAATAAAATACTTGGAAAGCTTAAATAATGAAATGGATGACATGCATAAACCTAAATGGGGTATATATTATGAATCTGGTCAGATTAAAGATGAATGCACACAACTTTTGAATCATCCTTGCCCTGAATGTAGTTCAAATATAAAAACAAAATGTTTTCCTAGTCTTAAAATTTTGAAAGACCATTTAAAAGCTTTACATGATAGGTATTATTGTGATATATGCCTAAAACATTTAAAAGTAAAATTTTTTTTTATAAAATTTTTTTTGTTAATTTCCTTATTTATTTTTCTTTTCCCAATAAGAATCAGAGTTGCACTGATACTACTTTTACATTAGGTATTGGGCAATGTTTGGCCAGATAAAAAATTATGTTAATGGTGTTTATTGCGGGGGAGAGGGCAGGGGCTCAAACAAAGAATGATATATGATTTGCATTTTATATCTTTTAATTCAGGCCTAGGTATGAGCCTACTTTCTCCAAAACATATTCCTTTTTATTAGAATATTCAAAAGTTTTGCCAAATATATAATTAACAATATTTTATTTTATTCATTGATGTTATTTTTGTTGTTAAACGGCTCCACTTTTCAAAATCACTGGTCAAATATTTTAGTCAAAAAATATGCATGGCTGGAGATTTTGTTTATAGATGGCAGAAATGTTTGAACATCTATTAATGTAATCTCAAGACCTGCGTAATATTAATTTGGCTAAAATTTTAAATTATGATTATCTAAATTGAGCTGCTACTAGTTAATTTTTTATTTTAATAAACCTTAAAAAAGTAAATTATTTTTAATAAAACTTAATTTCTCAATAATATTAGCAGAGATATTTTTTATGCTTGATAATTGTTTATTCATGGCTTGCTCACTCGCGGTAACAAAAAATAATTGCACACCCTTTCACGCTTGCTGCTAAAAAAATTAAGCCTGACCTGCCCGCTCACAAAAAACAATATTTTAAACGATCAAAAAAATAACGATTTTTAATTTTTTTTTCTAAATTTCTCAAAACTTTATTACTGCTTAAAACGCTTTTTTGAATTTATTCTATCATTGTTTTTTTCTTTATTTCCATATTAATAACAAACAAAATAATTACCATTAGGTGTGTATCGATATCACTTTTTGGAGCTGATCCGATCCGACATTCTCGATAGATCGATATCATATCTAATTTTGTATTCTGTAAAGATACCAATAGTTTTAATTTGTAATATACTTTTTATTAGTATAACATTTATAATTTAATTATGCCATAACTTTTCTCATTTAAATATATTATAATGATCAGCTATAGTTTATATTCAATTCTATTGCAATTCTAAAAGTATATAAAATATTTTTATTGCTAAATCACTTTTATATAATAAGTAACAACATTAATCTATATTCATTATAAGTAATAAACAAATATATTATGAAATTTGAATAAATATTTAAAATAATATTTAACATTAATATATCGAAGATTTCTTTTTAGAAATACCAAAATTTCCAATTTATCAGAAATCAAACTGCGGCGATGGTAACTTATCACCAGCTTCACTAAAAACAGATTCTGAAGAGATTATCGCACACTTTTATAAACAGAATGCGCAAAAAAATAACAATATGGCAGAATGTTTATTAATTAATTATTAAAAATATATGAATTATAACATTTTATTTTTGTTAAAGACGCCATTTTATATCGGATCGGTAAATTTTATAATATTGGACTATAACCGATATTTAAAATAGGTGAAATAATTCCTAATTAATTACCATTGTATATCAAAATCTTTATTTAAAAAAAGAAAGAATGTCCATATTGTTTTATTTTAATTGTGTGGGTCTTTCCTCCAATAAGCGATTGGCTTATAAAAAATAGTTTTTCACTGGATTGCTGGGGCTAAAAAAATTATTAGCAAATTTTTTCAAATGATGAATTTTCTATGTCAGGTTAATTCAGCGAAGCTTTTATCGCGAAGGAATTTTATAGCGGTGATATGCGAAACCAATACCCTGAATTTTTTTCCGCGAAACATTAATAGCGAAGACAATATCGCGAATTTGTTTCCGCGAAACCTTAACCGCAAATACTTTAAGCAATTACATTTTAGCAAAACTTTTATCACGAACTTTTTATAGCGCATTTTTAAATGTTTTATTGATCTTTTGTTACCTATTGTTTATTAAGTAAGCATGTAACCTTATCTGATGTGATAAAAAATATATTAGCCAATTTCTTTCTTGTCTCATGCATGGTTGTAAATACGAAGGGGACATTTGGTTCAGGTTTTTACCCCAATAAATTTACCCCCCCTATCCTCCCCACATAAATTTTTAAAATGTGCTTTGATTAAAATTAAATTTTAACAAATATTCTGAAATACTTAGAAACTTTTCCAATCAAGATAAAAAAATAATGAAAACTAAGAATTTTTGCTGCTTTTCTCATTTTAAAAAATCTGCCATTAAAATTTTCTCAGAATTTTATTTAGTTCCGAGTTATTAAGACACAGGGTAAGGATTAATTTTAACAAAAAATCATTCTAAAAATTTCTGAGCGATATATTATATTTTTTAAATTCAATTCTGACAAAATTAAAATTTTTAGCCAAATCATCTTTTGGGAATTCAGTAAAAGTTACTTAAGTATTTTTAATTCTGAGTAATTAAGGGGAAAAAAATAATATATGCCTTAGCACTAATCTACCATATTGTAGTTAGGCATTTATTACTTATTGGCTTAAATTTCAGAATTAGTGTAAGAAAGAGTTTGGCAAATTTCATGCTTAAGACTGCCTCTTTGAACTAATATTTTATATCTAAGTTAACAGAAAAGATAAAAAAATATCTATTAAGATCATAAAATCATAAGATTCAAAATATTTTAGAAATCCCTTATTTCACATATATGTAGCTTATTTTTGAATCACCATCCAAAATTCGATGAAGATCTAAAATAGTTTATAACTCTTGGTTAGTGACTGGCAAAACTGATTGATAAATTTATAAATATTAAGGGCTTCGGATAATGAATATTGGCTTAATCTTGATATCAATTGCGAAGCATCTAGGTTTAGCTAATGAACTCAATGGTTAATATATTAATAAGCCTGAGTTTCTTTTGCGCGTTTTATAAAATAAGACGTGTGGAAAAGCATAGAGCAGTAGCAAAAAATTTATATCTTATAAATTTTATAAGCCAAATAGTTATTAATCACTATATAAATTTATTAAGGCTAAAAGAAAATTAGAAACTCTATCATTGAATCAAACTTTAGCTATTTTTGAAAAAAATATTATTCAATTAATATGATCATAAAAATAAATGTTTTAAAGTAAAATATAATTATTAGCAATTATCGCGATATTGACCTTGTGATTTTAAATTCACTATAATATCTTCGTGAAATAGTTTTTGCTATATTGTCTTCGCGGAATAGTATTCGCTAATGTGGATTCGCGATAAAAATCTCGCTGAATTGACATGGAACTAAATTTTCTTGCCTCCAAAACTTCGAAATATTTTCATTGTTATCTATTTTATGAACAATGAATCTTTTTTCATACTTTCATCGGTAGATGTTGTCACCTCATCAGAATTCTTGAAATGTGTTATTTAGAATATGCTGTTTTGGATGAATTAGAAAAGTTAAAAATGATAATTGGCATTAATCATTAAGCATTTTTAAAATTGTTTTATATATATCTGCCTTTTCATCGTCTTTTAAAAACTTTTTACTTTTGAAATTTGGATTTAGGATTAAGTCTACCTTATGTTAATGGCTGCATAATAAATATTATGTTGTACTGTTTCTTTGGGTTTTGATTATTACTGTATCACCTTCTGAAGGGTGATAAAATTTCATTAATTTTTGTTTCCATAAATAAACTTCACTTATAATGGGAGATTATCTGAGAATACTTTAAATCGTGATAAAAATTAACTGCCATATGATATTTATATCAATGGTCGATAATCTATTTAATTCTTGTTTGTTAAGCAGGTAAACTTGTATTTCATTTTATGATTTTAAGAAATTTTGTATCATGATATATCATAGCCCTATCTCGTTATTATATCTTGCTTAATGGAATGTCTTAGCTTGCTGTCTGCTGCAGATTGCTTAAAATATTGCAATTTTGCACCATTTATACTTTAAGCTATTTCAGATAAGGGTCATTCCACGTCAAATGAGCAAAAAAAATGAGATTTTCGGCCGACCCCCTTCGATTTTTTTAAAATTTGGTAAGCAAAGAAAGGTCAATGTAACTAAGAAATAGCCAAAATTTTAGCCTCCTAACATTTATATTTTTGAAGATATTAGGGTTCAAAGTGGCAAAAATGACGTATTTTTACCATTATCTGCCTTCATTCAATTAAGCATATCTTAAAAACTACATAATTGTAAATAACATATTTAATATCAAAATTACGTACAAAAATTCTACTTTTAGATAAAAAAATTTCCAATTTCCGGTCATTTTATTTAATATATAAGGACTAAAAACGATTTTTTGGAAATAATACGACCTTCAATTTTTTAAAAAAATTTAGTAGACATTATTAAACTCTTCCTTTATATTTATAAAAAAAAATTAGTCTGGGACGCGGCCATCTTCATTCTCAAAATCGATAAAAAATTTTGGAAAAGTGTATAAATATTTTCCCGAAAGGGGGCGTCTTTGTATAAAATTATATATTAATAAGTTTTTAATGGTTTTTCTTGAACTATTTGATATAATTAAAAGGATTATTCATCTTGTAAGTAAAAATAACAATAAATGGGGCTTTCATTCAATTATAGAAATTATCGATAAAAGAAATTCAATTTATTACTTTATTTATAATTTATTATAAAAATTTTTGCCCATATAACATATATTTAATAAATATTAATAAAATATGTTCAATTAAGTTTCGAGTTCTTGAATATATGAATCAGAATCTTGTGCATTTCATATATGGCGCCCTAAATATTAAAAAAATTGATATAATTTAAATTTAAACTCACTTTCAAAAGATTCTAATTTTTCGGTAGCGCATTTACTTTCTTGTGACGACAATATATAGTATAACTACGGCCAGTAGCATTTAACAGTGAAACTAATGTTAAGATATGACATTTGGGCAAGCAAAGAGTGTCGTCTATACTTGGAAATGTAAAGGAATTAGAAGGTCCGGATGGGTGTAGAAACTTTATATATATTTCTTCCTGCTTTTGATTTTTCACTAAAACAAA